TCACGCTCAAAAGAGACATATATCCATCTGTGTATCAAATCAGTGGTAGCACTCTGCAGGAAGTGACTTCGATTCGTGATTTGGGTGTGGTACTTGACCGAAAACTTACTTTTGCAGACCATACAAATGTGATTATTTCAAAGGCCAATCGGGCACTAGGGCTACTCATGCGGAGCCTCCAGGCGACCTCTCCGCGGTGCAAACTGGACAGGAGAGCAGTGTTCGCGGCATTCAATGCAAATGTTAGGGCCATCCTAGAGTACTGTTCTGTAGTTTGGGCCGGTGCTTCCAAGTGTCATCTCGTGCGTTTGGAACGTGTCCAACACAAGTTTTTGATTTGGCTGGCAAACATGACGAACGTTCACCATGACTCGATTGAATATCATTACCTGCTGAAGCTGTTCGACGTGAGATCGCTACATGCCAGGCGCATTGAGAGTGACATTATATTTTTGTGCAAGGTATTCAAAGGTTCGGTGTCATCCTCTCATCTTCTACGGTCGTTCTCGTTACACGCTCCGCTCAGAGCGACACGCAGCGCTGTGTCGACATTGTTCCATGTGCCGCGTGGGCGAGTGAACTGCATTGCAAACGGCCTGTTTACGCGCTGTCCTCGTGCCACCAACAAATTTCTGGAAGCCCAGCCTCAAACTGATGTGTTATGTGATCCTGTTGGAAGCATCAAGAGGCGCCTCGTCCTCTATACCGGATCCGTGAGACTCTAGGGCAATGTACATGAGAATACTGTTTTTATTATGATAGTTTATTGTGCATGTTTTTTTCGTATTTTATCTTTTGACTTCACCTATCATAGGGATCATGCCTGTTGGTGATATTATGCAATACAAGAATACAAGAAAAGCCAACGACGGCTTTCTTGGAAATGGGAACGCTTCCACCGTCCTTCCAGAGATCGAGGGAGGGCTAACAGTACGAGAAGCCAACGTCCACTTGGGACGGCTTCCTCTGTTCTTTCAGGAGCCCAGCTGAAGCCGCTGGGGATTCACGGCCCGCTGGGGATTGAGGGTGACTCTTTTTGTCTTTCCAGGAGCCAAGGGATCCATGTGGAAATGTCTCTCTCTCCTCTCTCTCTCTCTCTCTCTCTCTCTCTCTCTCTCTCTCTCTCTCTCTCTCTCTCTCTCTCTCTCTCTCTCTCTTCGTCCTTACGGGAACGGAGATACCTACATACATGCTACATGCGTCCCTAACGTTTCACCAGGAACCCATGGGGCAAGTCGGCCAGCTGGGAATTGAGGACGACTCCCTTCGTTCTCTCAAGTACCAAAGAATGTACCCATGACCCGCAGGGAACACTTCCCTCCGTCCTTGCTAGAGTTGCAAAATTTCCCTACCGCACTACCGGCATGCCGGTAATTTTTCACTACCGCAGGTTTATTCGTGGTATCTGGCATGTCTTGCCGGTAGCATGTCGGTATTTTTGATTTTGTGCCCAAAAAAAATCATCAGCAAATGATTCAAACTTTGGACACTAAGAGGCTCTCAAATTGTAGTAACAGCAATATTAGCCACTGCAAGATACATTTTGTGGTAGAAGTTCCATTGCTAAGTGTAGGGGTAACACATGGACCTCAGCATTTCACACTAAATTCACAAGGTTGGTTATAATTAGAATTAGAATCTACTGTGGTCTATAAAAGGAAGAATACTCATTCATGTTGCAAAAGCACGATAAACTAGTAAGTCTAATGGTAGGTAATACGTATAGCACAATGAAATAAATAAATGCTAATGACAACATTCCCTAGGGGAAAAGGCAGAATCAAAACACCCAAAAACACAATGTTTGGAAACTGGCCTTGAGTCCTGAGAATGAGATCTTGAGATGTGGTCTGAGAAACTCTACAAAGAATTTGACACTAAAATCCAGCTGAAAAGGCAGGTGTTAGGTAGCCCTGAGCCTGACTTTGGTCCCATAATTAGATGAAAATGGATTTGAACTGGCATTTTGTCTTATCTTTACAAGAAAACACATCATCCAGGCAAAATTGACAAAAAGTGGCGCAAATCATTAGACAACCAAGGATTTACTTTTAAGATTCTCTCTCCCCTAATGAATGGATGTAATCTGATGACGTAATATTTATTCATATACCCTTTTGGTTGAATAACTGAAGAGAAATGAATTTCTTTGCAGTGAATTACACTACAATGTTGATTTCATTATAATCTGATATTGTGTTGGATAATTTTTATCAATATAATCATTCACGAGGCAGTGGCTTGCAGTCATTGAACTCTTTTTTTTGCAGCGTTTTAATCAGCTGGTTAAAAGCCTCTGTTATGGCGCATCTGTTTCGAAATCGATAACCTTGTGTTTGTTCCCGCTTGAGGTTGGAAAGGATGGAAGATATCGTTTTAGGTATACATATTATTTGGTGACTATTCTCAGGACCAGTGAGTTATTAACACATTTTGTTACATGATTCGTATCTTATTCACGAACCAGCAAGCCATAGTTGATAGGAAAAAGTTGAGATGTTGATCTCGCTTCCTCAGTTAGGAAGATGGCCGAATCTGTACTTGTTTACCTATGTTTTGACCATCTAGATTTTAAACATTTGGCTGGTGCCTGCAACATTTTAGGAGAATATGGAAAATTAGAACACCTGTAAAATGTAAATGTGATTACTGCTCACTATCCAGTCTTCAAAAACACATTTCAGTAATTCAAGTCCTTTTTGTCCTCACCTTTTTGATGAATGTAATAGTTATTTGTAGGCAATACTTCTTTGAGTACAGGTGATATTTTAACAGTTATAGACTGGAATTAAGTTTCAAAATTGTGGGTATTTGTGGGGCCAACTCAGCCAAAATCAGCCTGCTGGTATTTGTGGTTGGACAATGGATGGCTGTTGGGTGGGAGGGGTACTGAAACTGCCAAAATGTGGCATCTCTTGCAGGGGTAAGCTAGAATCAAGAATGCAGGTTTTTTAGTGTGCCGGTAATTTGGCGGTTTTTTTGCTTGGGGCGTGGTAGCATGCCGGTATCCCAGAAAATTTTTGTGGGGCGGGGCGGTGCCGGTAGCAGCCTTTGGGGAAAACTTTGCAACTCTAGTCCTTGCGGAAGCTGAGAGAGCTAACCATGGTTTGGTAGGGATGTCTCCCTTCGTCCTTACGGGATCCGAAAAAAAATCTAATAACGGCTCACTGGGGGAGTGAACACGTCTTTCTTTGTCTTTCCAGGAGCTAAGGGATCTAAAGGAGTGGGGATGTTTATTTCCGTCCTTAGGGGAACTGAGGGCTTAGCCAGGAGCCTGCAGTGAGCTCAGTACATCCCTTCCTCTTCAGGAATCGAAGAGCAGCCCAAGGCCTCCTGGGGACATTTCCCTCTCCCGCGTCCTTCCAGTTCCAGGAGCCGAAACAGACTGCTGTATCTGACATTGGAATTGGCTTCCTGGCGTCGACAGTTCGAGGAAGAACGCGTCGGCGGGTGGCAATTTTAGAAACTATGGCGAAAAGAAGGCCAGAGACTGAAACGCCTGTGATTGGATTCTGGTTAGGTGACCAGCGGACTCGCTGCATTCAGTGGTCTGAAGGGGCCTCACTGATGTAGAAAAGGAGTTCCGAGAGCTGTGCGGTAGCCAGATCTTCATATTTCCAAACGTTAGCTTTTGAGCTACAGCTCTAGGTGGTAATTGAAGCATATATTGGTATTCGTGAGGGTTCCTGCTATAAGCGCTTTGGATGCGCGCTTTTACATATCATTGCGGCTAATGCTGTTATTGAGCGATGAGCCGTCGCAATAGCGACACTTGAGACATGACAGGTGATTGGCGGCGACTACTTTCTAGCGAGCACGCAGCGGTATCATCACTGCAAAGGTAGTGACGGTCTTATTGATCCGCAGGACAGTTTATGAATAGTCTGCACCACTATATCTGTCACACTCTACGATAAAAGTCTGGTATATGTAATGTTTTGTGTCTTGAAGTTCCTTAGGCACTGAATGGTTCTCGTCATTCGTCTATTCATTGAATGGACGTGCTGCTACGTGCTGAAGTGTGAAGGAAGAATTATGACAAGACATTCAGATTCCCAAAACGGTAGGTTTTCAAGAGTGCTATCGCTGTGCCTGAAAAGATGTGGGTGCTTTCCAAGGATGTCACCAAGGCATGACTTCCACAGCCACCGGACTTCACACCCACAGCGTTCTTTCTGTGTAGGAACACATGGGCTGATGTCTTCGAGGACAGCTCACGGAGCCTGGAGGAGCTCAAATATGTTGTTTTACGAGTATATCGTATATCTATGTCCAACGTATATTCTCGGAGATACACATTACAAAAGAAGTAAATGATAACGTTTTATGGGGGACCATGTATGTCTCTGTGTTTGTCTGTGTCTCCCTGTCTCTCTGTGTGTTCACTGTTCACTGTTCAGGACCAGGGGCGAAGGAGCTTCCTATACAGATGGTGGGCGGCTGCCCCACCAACTTGGCATTTTGCTCCACCAATAAGCGTTTTTCCTCACCAACTTTAGCTCATTTGTAGGACTGTGGTCGTTGGCAAATAAATCCTTTTCGCATCGAGGAGCTTTGACAGGTCTTTGCAATGCAAAAGATTATCTCTATAATTATAGCAATGTTTCAGTCTAGCATTTCATTTAGATCTGGCAATCAGACACTAAGTTTGACGACTTTTTGCCCCACCAACTTCACTGAAAAAGCTCCACCCATGTTCAGGACTGACCTGGCGTCTCCTGCGGCCGCGGCACAGCTCTTATGTCTCTGTGTGTCTCTGTGTGTCTCTGTGTGTCTCTGTATCTGTAGTGACTGGCCTCCTGGCGTCTCCTGCGGCCGCGGCACGGCTCCTGTCTCTGTAACTTTGTGTCTGTGTGTCTCTGTGTATGTTGCTCCGTCTCTGTGTGTTTTTGGACTGACCTCCTGGCGTCTCCTGCGGCCGCGGCACGGCTCTTATGTCTCTGTGTGTCTCTGTGTGTCTCTGTGTGTCTTTGTGTGTCTCTGCATCTGTAGTGACTGACCTCCTGGCGTCTCCTGCGGCCGCGGCACGGCTCCGGCGCCTCCCAGCACCACCAGGCAGATCCCGACCACGGCCGCCCACCACCGGGCCATGCTGGTCGCCACGCACGCCCGCGCCCGCCGCCCGGCCTCACTCCGCGCGCATACCGCAGTCAGTCGCCCGTCGCCGCCGTCGCACGCGCCCGCGCCGCGCCGGCCCGTCGACACCGACTAACGTCGACGGCGACGAGCCGCCCGGCCGACGGCGGGCGGCGCCGACGGCCGACGCAGGGGGAGGGGGACCGTGAGGGGCGTGGCATTACGGGGAACCGGAGAAGGAAGTGCGCTCGGTAATGTGCCGACTGAGCCCCCATCATCAGACCAGGCTGCGGCTTTCTTGCTCGTTTCCGTACACCGATAAGGAAACGATGAACGTTTTGGGGCGAATGGCAGCTGTAAGCGACTCGAGAAAAAAAATTCAGTGAGGCAGACAACTACATGACATAAAGACACACATCACAGCGCTTCGTAAACGGCAGTGGGTGCTTCGCTACAGAGCCATATCAATATTCGATGCACCACACTTTTTGCAATGTCGCAATGCCGGTCGGCCGTCCAGGGCGTGTGTCATTTCGCTGGACAGTGTCTTCCATAAACTTCGCTCCGATGAGCGTTTCAGTCAGCAAATTTATGGGGTCATGAATCGCCTGTCAAGCATGTTCAGATACTTGTATTTATTCTTTTGTTGATCTCTCTATTGCAGTGGACGTAGTTTCAGTCTGGTGGTATCGTGTAGCCGCTGGGCAGGGGTTCGTTATCTCAGTTTGGTATGGTGTTGCAACGTGCGTATCTTGACGATAGTTCGCCGCGGCATGTGTGGATTGCTCCTGATCGTAAATACATACGTACATACATACATAATAATGCATATATAATATAATATAATGATATAATGATATATAATATAATAAATATAATGCATATATAATGTGAGGCAAACAGCCTTTGAGAGGAAGGTTATCGCAGTTTTTACATGGTTGGATAGATGATGCCAACAGTATTGATGTGCATATAGCATGCGATTATGCTAGCTAATACCCGCACGGCATCGTTGCATTACTCGTATCTGGTTGAGATGTAACCAATCAAACGCGCCTGCCGACCAAAGTGCACATCGGCATTCTTTTGCGCAGACCTAACTCATTTCACTTTACCTAATACGATAAGCTGTTCATCTATGGAAGTATTGTCCCGCACATGTGCTATGTGTGGGTAACTGGGTAAAGCAACAACCATTTAAAACACAATTAGACAGCAATGACAGTGCAACTGATCCATTACGGAAGCAGGGTATATAAGGCTCAGGTCTTAAGTACGTCGGTTTGCTTCTTCTTGTATCGTATTGGAACTTAATTATGATCATCGATCATTCTGATGGCCTCGTTAAAAGCTTATGAGCATTCAACAGGGACCATTGACGTTGAACGTTTCTAACAGAAGCGAATCGAAACGGAACTGGTTGTACGCTTATCCACGCTAAGTAGTAGAAAAAAGACTGCTAAATCTGCAACATTTGTGACCTTTTCACAAAAAGTAGCAGAAATGGTGTAGCTTAGATGAGAGTATCAAAGACTCACATTTGTATACGTTATTATGCGCACAATTTTCTGCGATTCGTTTATTATAAGCTGCAATGGGCACAGCAGAGTCATACCACTTATCATGTGGTATGCTTTAACCCGCGCATGACTGGGGTATTTTCCATAACGTGAGTGACTGGGGGGGGGGCTCTCCAGAGCCCCCCCTCTTATCTCCGAAACTACTGGGCCGATCGTCAAAATTCAAACGGCGTCTGATAGCCCTGGAAAAACTGTCGAACGAAACCTATTTTCATTGACCTCGAGGTTACTGATGACGTCACAGGTCAGGTCAAAGTAAAAATTATCGACATTTTTGCTAGTTCACAATTTAGGCTCTGACCGCCGGACCGCCGGTCCGATCAGGCTCATTTTTGGTTTACACACTCCTTTACGGATGCCTTAGATACCCTGAGGGTACCGAACTACTTTTACTTCGAATTTTTAAGATCAAGGCCAGGTCATCCTAGGTCACGAAAATTGTATATCATGTGTCGGTCACGTGACGCATGTTTTATGGTCCATTTTACTCGTAGATTTCGAAAATAGTGTCGTCTGTGTCATTTGAGGTCATTGTCAGCTGAATTTACCGGAGGTCAGGTCACTTTCAGGTCAGAAAAGGTCAAATTTTGAAAATGAAATTTTTCAACAAAAAAGTGCCTATCAGATGCAGTTTGAGCTCAGGAACACGATGGTACGCCATTTATACTGCTCTATACGACGTCAAAAACATACTGAAAAATGGATTTGAAAAAAAAAAACATAAAATTGTAGAATTTTGACAATAATGCGAATAACTTGGCTATTTTTGAAGACATTGGGCTAAAACTTGGCAAAGGTAGTTCATCAGTGTGTGTTCTATCACATATATCCCGGTTTTTGCGAAAAGTCAAAAACTTTTTGAAAAAAAATCAAAAAATATATTTTTTTGTAATTGTAAATACATATTTTTTACAATTTTCCAAATTTCGAAAATTCCAGATAGCAGTTTGATAGCTACGTGTATTTGTAGTCCACTCATGCAAAGAAAATGGATCTAGCTTTTAAAACTGAGCTCTTGAGAGCGTTTGCCGTAATTCAGTATTTTGCATGAAAATCGGCCGACATGACGTTACTCTGACGTCATTTCCGGCCTATGGTAGCTAGAAAATTGAAATTATAACGCAAGGTGTCAAATTAATGCCTCTGAGGGTACCGCAAGTTTCGGGTTGATTTGTCAAATGGTTTAGAAAATATTGCTGAAAAACGGGAGGGGGGCTCTGTAGAGCCCCCCCAGTCATGCGCAGGTTAATTGCGTCTTTATGATTATTTAGCACAATTCTGCGGAAGCAGACTAATGCGTGTCTACAACACTGTGCAAAAGCTTTTACGGGGATAACGATCTTAGATGAAATTCTACGATTCAACAATATCACAATGAAATGACTAAGGCATTGACTGCACAGTGCACATTGCACAATGCACACATAAGATAGTGCGCATGCAGATGGGACAATTAATTAACAACGCGTATCAGTATCGACTGGAGAAAGCGGACACCTGACGTCATTTCCGCCCACTTGGCAGAAGTTGTCCTACCTCCGGTGACCAACATGCATTTACGTCGAAGTACATTTCAAACACGCCGTAGTAAAACCCCACAAATGGTGTGTCTCACGATTTTGTCCCAGACAAGGCTCAGGTTTCATGAGAGGTGACCTGAAAACTCAGCGAAGGATGTCGATTCGTATCCCGAAGTCACGAAGACCTTGAGGCATGTCCTTCTTGGTTTGCGTGTCAAAGCTTGTTACCGCTCATTTGTCAGCCCGGTGATGTGTGAATGCCGCTAATGAATTGGTGAACGTGCTTTTGTGGCGCTGACCAGTGTAGTATCTAAGGTGTTTGAATTCTTAGACGGTGCTGTGTGTTCAGTGTCAACTGCAGGGGCGGCGGATTCGGGGGGGCAGGGGGGGCAGCTGCCCCCCCTGGCAAACTCGTGGGGGGGCAAAAGTATCTTTTTGCCCCCCCCCATAATTTGTGACAAAGCTTAGACAAGAAACCATGTACCTGATTATTCTGTTCGATCATCTGAAGATGTAACCAGATGCCCATGTAACTTTATCATACGTTGCCTTTCTTAAATGGCAAGCGTTCACGTTCAATTGAAGTTTTCCTCTCTTCAACCTAGTTTTGGAGGCTTTATAAGCGTCAACGTGACGCAGCGGAAACCCAGGCCTTCAGTGACCGCTTCAGGAGCGACGGATACCTACGGGGTGGCAGAGGAGGCATCGTTCCCTAAGAAACTTTTGGAGGAGGGGCAAACGTATATTCTTGCCCCTCCATATTGTGCCCTAAACATGAGGAAAATTTCCATAACCTGATATTGCAGCTATGCGCTCCTACAGTTTGTCCAACGGTGCCTTTTGAATATGTGTGAATGCTAACCATTTCCGCTTTATATCATTTTGTTTTGTCTTTTCAGATTCGATTTATAGATGCGTGCAAGAGACGCAACTCATACCTTCAGTGGTCGTTTGCCTCTATTTTGTACCTACATATACCAAATCGCAAGCGAGCGGAGACGGAATGGCTAGCCATTCGCTTGCGGGTAGTTAGGACTGATGAGCGCTCATAATAAGCCACTCCCCTGATTTCTTCGAGCGCAACAGTTTCCAGCGCATAAAATGGTAAACGCCGAGGTCATACACATTGACGACATTGACCAATGCACGGTATGGTATGACACCCAAAGGCCAGTCATCAGAGATCTGCTTTGGGCATTCGGAGGCTTGTGTGGGGCCAGTGTAAAAACTGGATGTTCACAGTTCAGTATCCGCTTTATTTCAGTTTTCACTATTAAAAAAGTAAAAATTAGTGTTGGAAACTTTTGAGGGTTAGGGCACTGATCATTAGTGGGCCCCCCTCTGTCTAAAGGCTGACTATAGAATAAAGAGCATCAAACACGAACAGTAGCGGCGGAACACCTTCAATTAAGGGCCTGCCGACTTTTGGTCCCATTCTTTCCATGCAACGCCCATAGCGCTAACGTTAAAATGCCAAAATCAAAGGGGGGCACGGTGCCCCGGTGCGCTCCCCGTTCCGCCGCCTATGAACACGAAAGCGAAATCTGAGGCATTTTGGAAAAATGAGTATGCCCCGCAGCGTCCGATAACTACCACCTTCCGGTGGGTCAAGCCAACGGGGCCTAAGGCTATAATGGCACTTTTATAACGATAGCACTAACCTTGTCTCACTTTTTGTTGAAGTCTGTTCCGAATGGTTTCGGCGACAGACTGGCTGCACTGAGGTATGTGCAACTTTAATTAAAGCCACCTGAGGCACCCTGACACCAGGCTGAATCTGGGTTGGAAATGCTCTTGCAGATATCACTGACCGCTGATTCTCGAGTGCCTGAATCGGTAGATGTCGTGGCAAAATTTGGTGTGATAATTTGGACCTTACCGCAGTCAGCGCACCCTAAAAGAAACGCCCTACCCAGAGCTTCTGGATTCTCGTTTCAGTCCACCGTTCCTTCACCCCAGCCCACCGCCACGCTCCCTCACCTCAGCCCTCCGTTCCCAGCTTGACGAGCATTTGGGCCTTAGTTAAGCCTTGGTGTAGGCTAACTGTATAAACCCATCGAGACAGCCCGTCTCGGTGGGCTTAGTTGGCGAGCTACTGCCTTGGGGAGGGTTTCTGGCGGATGGCTGTCCCAATAGGTTTAGATGCGACCGACTGTCTCTGAATGTTTGAGCGGTCTCCTCCCGCTGTGAGCTAGTTGATATCTGTCTCAGAAATACTTTTTAAAGGAAGGTTAAACGGAAATCGAACGTAAAATGAACAGAGGAAATGCTAACGAGTTACCTCATTGAAGGAAAGCGCTCGCCTACTTCAAAAGGTTTGGAACCGTTCTTCAACATCTAATATGCGATCGGGTTATGGCACAACTTTTCCCATTGAAACTTTTTTTCTAATACAGCAATACGAAAAGCGTTACATCGTCCACTGGCGGATCCAGGGAGCGGGCATTTAAAGCAAATTGACATGGGACAAACACATATCATACATTTTGCGCCGGTGCTATAGTGTACTGATCGGTCTGTCAAGGATTCGACACCGCGTGCCGCGCGAGACCCGTAAGCTCCTGATTGAAGCGCTAGTCTTCCCGCTAATAACGTACTGCATGTCTGTATGGGGCGGTTGCACAGTCACACAGCTCAGGAGACTGCAGAAATGCATAAACTTCTGTGTCAGAATCGTAACGAACCTCAGGCGTTGCGACCGTGTGACAGCGTCCCGCAAGGAACTGGGATGGCCTGCTGTACAGGAGCTACTGCGTGAGCATGATCTGCATGTTATATTTAAACTGATGCATGACTCGCATGCCCCTGATTCGATCCGCAGCCGCATCGTCCACCGTACTGCGGTGTCGAGCCGCAACACTAGGGCAACCAGTGACGGTCAGCTTCATGTCCCGCGCGTGCGAACTGAGCTTGCCCGGCGCTCATTCATCTGTCGCGCAACTCGTTCATGGAATGAGTTGCCTGCGCCTGTTCGAGGCTGCACCGGTCTGGCGGCGTTCCGTAAAATGGTTAAGAAACGGCATGTTTAATCCGGCTGCGCTAGGTCAATGTGGTCAGTTAGTTTATCATGTGTGGTGTGTTTTAACCTCTATAGAATCTGTCCTGTATGTACAGGTATGAGTTTTGAACTACTGAATGTATGACGTGGTTTACTGAAAACCCAATTTCTTGGATGTAACCGAAATATATGAGTATGAGTATGAGTATAAATATTTACTCTCCCTCCCCTGGCCCCTGCATCGCCCGAAATAGACAAAGCGTACCTTATGTTTCCTAATAATAACACTTTTATCAGGATTTTTTTATTTTTTGCTTTATACTGTTCAGCAGTAGATCCGTAAGGAATCGGAATCCGAGGAGTTTTTGGATTTGGGACACTTTTTCGGGGGGTATGTCCCCTACAGTGTCGGAAACGTCTTTCTGGATCCGCCTATGACATCATCTCGACTGGGATCTTGCCCCCCCACGCCAAAATCGAATCCGCCGCCACTGGTCAATTGTCACAAACAGAAAGCCGTGTAGCAACCTGTTTTGATGCCATGTAATATTCGACACGCAGACAGTACACATAGAACGTGAGGTCGTATGTGTATGGTTAGTGAAATAATCAATGTTACTGAATTTAGGTTGCGCCATACCTGCTGGAATATTAACAGCCAGTTCTGAAAGACCGGCGTCACCAATTTTATGCTGCCACAATCGCCTTTGGGCTATGCGCAATGACCACGCCATTATATAACGCGAACTGTGGATTTGTTACATACGGAAACACCAGCATAATTCCACAACTTGATCATTTCAGGGGTCCCATATTTGTCCTGAGTCTAAATTGTATTTCAGTTGCATGGCTGATGGCCGTAAATGTTTGCCCATTCACCTCTCTCTCTCTCTCTCTCTCTCTCTCTCTCTCTCTCTCTCTCTCTCTCTCTCTCTCTCTCTCTCTCTCTCTCTCTCTCTCTCTCTCTCTCTCTCTCTCTCTCTCTCTCTCTCTTTCTCCCTCTCTTCTCCATCGTTTTCCTTTCTCTCCCTCACACCCATGGCAGTATAGCTCACAGCCGACGTCAGTTAGCCGTGCCACCAATCGTCTGTCCCGGTCTCTGACGATCTACGAGCCGTGAGGACCGGCTTTTCATTGAGCTGGGGGCAGTTCTCGGCACGGGCCTACTCGTATCGACCACGCGCGCAGTTTCAAAGTTCGCAGTCCGCTCGCTCGTGGACCTTCTAACGGTCGGAATGGTACGCTCCAAACGGAAGTCCAGCAGTGTCAGAGGCCGTCACCTGGCAAATGTCAGAGATAGATTGTCGTCGCGTGAATTCAATAGACGTTCGTAGTTTGGTTTCCTGTGACGTGCTACGTGAGGTGGATGACGAATGGGTGTGCATTTCCGTGAGGAGCTATTACAAGACAGCTGGAATTGAATGCCAGGTTCGATAGCACACATTGCTGGTTTTGTAAATGCTTTAGGCTGAATGCCCATGCTATCGATTATCCACGTTCTTCGCTTATGTAGCATTGAGTATTTGAACTGGGGCCGTACTCACGTCGATCATTTTGGTAAGAAATTTATTACGCATAACCTACTTCTATGAATTTTGTTTTTAATCACGTGAACTACGTCGATAAAAGCTTTAGAACTGTCGACGTAAATACCAAGTTATACCTACTTACGAAAGAAAATTGACTTACAAAGTCGAGGTGAATTCGGCCCCAGGGTCGCTCGTCTTTGCCCGTTGGTAAGCGATGGAATAAGTTTGCTGCTCATAGACCTTAGTAGGAACACAATATTTCCCTGCATTGCTACTGACGTCGTGAGCAAATGCATGTAAGGTACGATGCATAGTTCCACATGCAGTTGCTTATAGCTTAACGCTATTTTCCTTTATTCTAGCTCCAACCAGAAACCATGCCATTTGCTGGTATTTGGTAAGAAGGTACAGAACGGCGCTCATATTTAAAGGGACCCTCCCACCTTAACATTAGATTTGAGTTGAGATAGCCAAAATGGGGTCCCTGGCTCACAATTACCGGTTTCGGCACTCACAACATCGAGAAATGCCTTAAATCGGAAATATTGAATTTCAAAATTGCAGCATTTTGATTCAGAGGGGCTAATGCTTAGGAATACCCCTCTGAATGTGTGACGTCAGCGCAGATATCTAACGATTTTTAAATGTTTGACTAAAACGTTTTGTAGCACGCGGTGGTATATGCTATTTGCGCGCAACATCTGCCGCAAACGCCGCACTTCTAAAATAAAGTCGCTAGAAACAGCGGAGATCCCAAAAAAAGTAAACAAAAGTAAAAGTCTAATATCTTGAAAACCGGTGAATATTTTTCGGTGAAATTTGGTAGATATTCGATTTCGCTCTTTCTGAACCGAGCGACATCACTTTCATGCCAATTCATAAACTTTTTTGAAGGTGGGAGAGTCCGCATTCACGGCATGTTGAATGCGGAAAGATCATATGTGGCAAGTGTATTCCTTGATCATTAGCGATATTTTGCATTTAGTTGATTGCAGGATAACAACTTTAAATCGTAGCATTAGTACCATGAAGATTGCAACTTCTCCCGTTTTATCAAAGCACTCTCTACAATAGATGTAAATCTAAGAGAAATGCCTGAGCGGATGATCGCTTACTGAATGACAGAGCCAAAGGGCTTGTCTTAAAATTACAGTGTCTTAATCCCCGGCAGCCATCCTCCAACACTGTATGATAAAAATGTAACTGTAATATAAATGTAACTTTACATTCTTGAAACTATTTCTAAAGATAACACAATTATGTCATCTTTATTGAAAGTTGTGTAACCATGGCCTAGTATATAATACTGACCCAGCTATGACAGACAGCAAGGTCACGTCAGATATAGTTTACCGTTATGGGTCCCGCACCGTATGTCATCACCACGATCACAGTCGGCCACCTCACGTCCATCGCCTTTGGCCACCAGTGACCGGCCACGCCTGCCGTCGATAACCTTCTGCGGCGGGGCCGCACCTCGGCCGGCGGTGGGGACAGACCCCACTCACGCCCGTCGGGCGGGCGTGACCGCTGCACGACGCGGAGGGGAGCCGGGTCATGGCACGCCGGCCTCCGCGGGTAACCTTCACGGGCCGCTCCACGAGCCCCGCCCAGCCGCAGGAGAGCGGCGGCGGCCAGCGGCCGGCCGCTGAGCGGCACTTCAGTTCGGTTTCACCCGCCGCTCCGTCGCCACCATGACTGCTGCGCTCCGTCCTCTGGGCCCTCTGCGGCCGCTGCTGCTGGCGGCTGTGCTCTGTGCCGTGCCCCTGGCCGCCTTCCCCAATGGCGCCCCCACGGAGGCCTGTCTGCGGGGTATGGTTCCGAATCACCGCGGCGCCAGGAGCGGCAACATCGCCTCGATGCCGTTCCGCGTCACCAGACAGACGACTGGCAGCGGAGTCAGAGGTGAGCTACGTACTGTGCGCGTGAGGACCAATATGCTTATTCATATTTAGTGAGGCATGAGGATCGGCTGTTACCTCCTATTTCTGGAACGTTTTTACTGGTGTGCTTACAAACATCTCGTTTCGCCTATTTAGTAGGCTGCGAGGCTTTACATGGCCTATTTTTCACTCGGCACATGGAGGCTGGACCACCTAGGGAAAAACCATAAATGGCGCTCGATAGATCGTTAAAGTCCTTGGCAACGCCATTGAACACCACATTCTGGATGTCTTAATCCCCAAAATCATCATGTATTTCGCAAAGTATGACCATTTCTGTTTCATCATGGTTTCATCATAAAGTTTAGGTCATTAAAAATTGCCGCAGGCTGTTTTTTTTTTTTTTACAATTTATCAAAACAAAGGAACAAATATCAAACAGTAACGCACAACTACATTCAATGCGATGTTTATTATTTCTATCGGTTTCCTAATTTTGGTTGAACAATAACTGTTAATAAAGATGACATTGATATTTGATGCCGCCATTGCCTTGTTTCTGTAAAAGAAACGCGCTAAACGAACTTCATGTTAACTCTAATAGGCAAACATAAATAGTTGACTTCAGGTCAAGATTACGACCCGACCTTCTGCCGCATTGCATGCATATGCTAATCGGCAACATTAACATATTTCCTTGCAGGGTGCTTCGTTGCTCTAGAATGCCTTTTCAACAGTATTAACCGAAAAGCTTCTGAGGGCGTTTTTACGCTCTCATGTGACCTCAAAGATTAAACGCTGGGTTACGGGTACACTGTCCAATTCACCTCCTTGCCCGGCCAAACTAGATCTCACCAGACCCATGGGCTTTTACCCTCGCCCGTATAGGGGGGTCGAACGGACCCCCCCATGGTTTTTCGCGAATAACTCGCGTAAAAAGCGGCCGATCGCGACGACACTTTCAGTACCCTCGCGTTCATCAATTTCACACCTACCCTGAAAATTTCATGGCCCTGACCCAAATGACCTTTGACCTGTGACCTACTTTTCAAGACCATGTTTGGCTGGAATCGCGATTCGGCGTATGTCGGCTCGCATTAGCCGCGCGTTTGCAGTCTTTTCGTGGTTTCAAGCGTTCAAACATGTGATATGATGTTGCCCCCATGCATTAGGGTGGGTGTCAAAGTCACCTGAAGGTCAGGTCAGGTCATTGACCTTTGATGACCTCGGTTCACTTTTTCGAGTTTTACATGTTTCTAGGCCAGTTTTTGGAGTTGAATTCGAATTTAGCAACCATATGAACATTTACGAAGTAGTTTTGGTGCCTTCGTAACATGTTACGAAGCTGTCAGAGGCGATTGCCACCTACTAGGAATACCCTTACTGGTTGACCTGACCTGACCTGACCCGACCTGGCCTAAATACATGAAGACATCATCTGTGATCAAAACTAACATGATATTCGTGATCAGCACCCCGAAAAACCCCATAGCAGCCACACTTTACGACGTTCTAACAGGTCCCGATTTTCCCGCCTTTGGGGTCATTGACCTGACCTGCAAGGTCAACCAATGACCTAGGACCTTAAAATTGGGTATCATCGGCTTCCTCTCGTCACGGGCAACACGCTCGTTTTTTTCCGCGAAGCTCTAGCTCGATCAGGGGCGAAACGGCAAGGGGGGGGGGGTCCAACGGACCCCCCCCCTTATACGTTCGCGGCTGGAAAAACACCAATACGGGCGAGGGTTTAAATACATTGTTTCATGTTCAATGTTACGAGGCGCAGATACAAGCCTGTTCAAATTTGTTCCACCTCAGGTCACTCGGTGCCCTCTAATGTTAAGTCAATCGATCAAATGTCGAAATCCGATTATCATTATCTTTTTTTTTGGCAGACAATATCTAAAAGATGTAGAGCGACCACTTTGGCACCGTCGTGTTTCATGTGGCCATATGCGTCCAATGATGTACTTTTTGTATGGGTAAGATTGCCTCGGGTACATCATACTCAGATCAGAATCAGCCCGACACCGACAACATGTTTCAAAGCTGGTCGAGGAGGACATGTCTGAGTGGCTTAAGGACGTCGCTCAGTCACGTGACCTGTCTAGCTTCAGCTGAACTTCATTTGAAAGTTACATGATAGATACTTCTTGAATGTCTTATACCTTCCTGTGAGAGATATCCCAATACTGACAGCATTGCTAACCTTGTGACACATTTGACTCTTCAGAAGTTTCCTATGACGCCATAGGTCAGTGACCTGAACTGACTATGTTCCTCACTACTCGGTGACCGAATGGAATATTCATGATAACGTGATATGTCACTGTAAAATATATCCCTTCGACTGTCCATGATAATACACCGAAATAATTTCTACATGACATTTCACATACCTACCCAGTCAACAACTTCCGTCCTAGGCTATTTAACTTTATGCATATCCTGCTCTTCATGCCGAAAAGCCGATCAAGCATTGCTAAGCCGATTCATGCCGACCAGCCCTAACGTCTGCGCTGTTTCTTTCAGTGACCATCGAGCCGCTCCAGGCCAACACCTACTTCCGCGGGTTCATGGTGATGGCTCGCGAGCCGCGCGGCCGCTCGTGGGCCAAGGACAAGGGCGCCTGGCAGCCGGTGTCCAACGTCAACCTGCTGAACGAGTGCTCGTCTATCACGCACGCCGACCGCAGCGAGAAGGCGCGCGTCTCCGTCACCTGGAAGGGAGACCCCAACGTCGACCTCTAGTAAGTACAGGTGCAGTGTAGACTGTTTGGAGATGACCACGGACCACGTCCGCACCATCTGCTCTCGATGTGTGGAAATGAATTTACTAGCGCTTGGTCCTGCACCGCGTCTGCTCTTGATGTGTGGACAGAAATTCTCTATGCGTTTGTTCCGCTTGGTCTAAACTATTCTTTATGTTAATTGTGAGATAAAGGTTACTTTACAAATTTAAAGTATTAACCAAGAAAATGGGTAATATTATTTTAGACTAAAAAGACAACAAACAGCTTAGTTGGCCCCATCAGATTCTATTTTGAAATATGTAGTGTGTTGCTAGCGAAAACGGTGGCATAACTATCAGCAAAGATTGCCGATCAATAACCCTTTCACTGCCGGCAATCGCGTGGCCAGCAGACCGCTTGTGCGCATGCTTGAATCCTCCTGCCTGGTAAAAGGGGTGCCGCCTGTCCTGGTAGACTGACCCGCAGCGCCAGGCTGTGCGGCGGGACAGCAGCCGCCAGACGACAAACGGTTTAGTTGCCTGTGGTTCTGAGCGATCAAGGTCACAGAAGGATTTTTTCACGAACGCCAACTGTGTGCCAGATGCATTAGAACGTCTTAACCCGCGCCCTGGTGGGGTCTGTTTATAGCGTGACCTGGTGGGGGGGGGGGCTATTTTTGCCCCCCCCCCCTCGTATCTCCGAAACTACTGGACGGATCCGCAAAACTCAAACGGTGTTCGAAAGGCCTGTCAAATTTGTCTAGAGAAACCAAATTTCATTGACCTCGGGGTCACCGATGACATCACAGGTCAGGTCAAAGATGAAATGTTTCACCGTTTACGGGTATTCTAGGGAATGCGCTATAACACCAAGGAAAACGCATTTTGTCGAGAATCAGCGATAGGGCGTCAGTTGCCTAGTAGATATGTTGCTATTAGAGGTCACTGACAATACCAGGTCAGGTCACAGGTCAGGTCACCAAGGGTCACAGGTCAGGTCACATGAACCCAACTTTACTAAGTTTGTGTGATGCATGTTTTATGGCCAATTTTTCATTTCCAACTCAATGGTGTTGGTTATAAGACTATCAGGTACGGCTTAGGTCACTTTCTGGTGAAGGTGAGGTCAAGGTCAGGTCATGAAGGTCAGGCCAAAAAGGTCAAATTTTAAAAGTTGATAGTTTTGCATAAAATGGGTATTGATTCGATGCAGCTCGTCACGGGGAGTGTAATGGTGGTCTTTGTTTTGCGCTACGGGGTCTAGAATTGCTAAAAATTGAGTTTGAAAATTTGACGTCATCAATTTTTAACAGTTTTTTTCGCTATAACTTCGCCAAAAAAGAGGTATCAATCTCAAATTTGGTATGTGGATGGAAGGCGGTAAGGACTATCACATATATTCCGGTTTTTGCGAAATTCAAAAAAACTTTTTAGATTTTTCGACTATTATATCCAAAAAATCTATTTTCTGATTTTTGGGGATCAAAATCCAAAAATTTTCAAAATCCGAGATAGCAGTTTTGTAGCCCTGTCAATTTTACAGCTTTTATGTCTGGATCATTTTTCTGTATTTGCAAAACTATAGGCCTGACAGCTCTTCCCGCGAAACCCTTTTTTGGGTCGAAAACGGCAGAACATGACGTCACTCTGACGTCATTTCCGGCCAACCTTTCATAGCCTTTGGAAAAAAATTTTTTGGTCACAATGTGTAAAATTGATGTTGGGGAGGGTACTGAAAGTTTGGTGACGATCGGCGCAGCGGTTCTGGAGATATATCGAGGGGGGGGGGGCAAAAATAGCCCCCCCCCCCACCAGGTCGCGGGTTAACATTATTGTAACACGATACGATCGCTAAGCTATTGCCAATAGCTTGTCTGCAACAAGTAGTCCAAATTTGATTGATTGATAGTGTAACAGTGCGCACTTAAATCACGTAGCTGTATGTGCATTTCAATGCATTATTATTGCGTCTGATTTTTTGAACAGTTAAAACGCTTATCTATCTCAAAACTCCGCTGCATTTGTCCGTTTTTTGACATCGGGCTGCCCCCGAGTCACAGTCGGTGACTTTGTTGGCGGCCTAAGGCGTCGATCAGCCGGCGCGCTGTGTCGCTATGTGAACCCCAGGTATAAACAGAATACCGGACGCAAGTATTGACCCGGTCCTGCCACCCCGGGCGGCCCCTCCCCATTCATACCCACGGATTAATTACAAGAACCCCGCCTGTTGCCATCACACAGTGGTTTACTAGGATTTTAGGAATACATAAAGGCATGTTTACACAACGGTCGGTCTCTATAAAAGCGTGGGAGAAAATTTACCGATGGGCTATGCGGTATGTCAAATGAGATTGAGCGAATGTCGAAACAAAAAGCTAAACATGCGATTGATACTCTCTCTCTCTCTCTCTCTCTCTCTCTCTCTCTCTCTCTCTCTCTCTCTCTCTCTCTCTCTCTCTCTCTCTCTCTCTCTCTCTCTCTCTCTCTCTCTCTCTCTCTCTCTCTCTCTCTCTCTCTCTCTCCCTCTCTCTCTTACTCCGTCCTTTCATTGGCCCTTCATTTGCCTCTCTTTCTCATATTCTTTTTCTCTCTTTCTTGCATACAATATTCCCCTTATGACGCAAGTTTCTTCATATGGCATCCTTTCCCTTATGACATCATGCTGCCCTTAATGACGTCACGATGATCTCTCCCACAGCGCCACGGTTGTGCAGAGCTACGATACATTCTGGGCCGAGATTCCAGTGGAGGAGGCGGCCCCTAACCAGCGGGTCGATTCGTCGGCCCCCCAGCGCGCGGTGGTCACCAACCGACCCTTCGAGCGACCAGAGTTTGCGCCCATCGTCGACCAGAGTCGCTTCAACGTCCAGGAGTTCTTCAGACAGCAATAGGTGAGGTGGTAGAGGTGATAGTGTAGTGGCTACTGAATTACTCGAGTGATTTTACTGATTTTAAAAGTCTACACATGGCTTTAGCGACGATTCGTTCAACGAGGTGTTGCTAAAAATGAAAGTGAGAGAGGTGGTTTTATGCGTTTTTATGATCTACTCCTTGTAAATAAATTTTGTAAATTATGTCATTGAAAAAAATGCATGTATCAAAACTTTAAAACATAACTTGACGTTGACAAGTTATGTGTTTTTTAGTACATCGGTGTCTAAATACAGACGAGTATATTTGCCCAACTATAAAAAGTATGGTGTTTGCTAGCGATGATTGGATATGTCCTGAGAGCGCTTTTACTGATGCATGAAATGAAAAAATGCCTTTGTTTCAGAAGCTTGAAGGAACGCCTCGACTGAAGAGGTGTAAGAGTGAAGACAAAAATATATCCAGCACAATAATTGCCTAATGGGTGTAGCTGTGCACTGTGTAGCGCAGTTAATTGTGGTGACCTTCTACTGTCCGACGAATGTTCTTAGAACATTGACACTAGCGTGGTCACCGGGTTATGAGAATCCAGTGTTGTGGCGAAATCGGGTATCGGGTACAGGGAGTGTATTGGAATGTAATGCTAAAATATGCCAAAGGTGAATAAAGTGTAAATACATAATGACGACACAATGAATGTCTATAGGAAAATCACGATCATGAAGAAACATAAGTTGACCTATCAAATAAACACGTTTAAGATTGACAACTCGCTACCGGGCCCAGCAATGTAAACTTCGATTCGTGACTGTGCTACGTTTTTTTTCTTCAAAACACTGTTGTCGGGTCTAATGCTGGTATGCATATCAGCAATCCACTCCATGGGTGATACTTTTCTCCTTGAAAATATCATGGCCCGCTTCTTACAGTCTATCGTGAAGCTGAGCTTTGTTTGCAGAGACTTTACATTGCGAGCAAAAACCTTCATCATGACATAGAGTTTCATTCAGCTCAAAGTAGGTAAGAGTAAATGAGAGTTACTATGCTTTCCTTTGAACTTTACTAGAATTAGCAACATGTGCTGCAGCTAAATCCAATAACCAGCTGGCTGTTGGACTTTCCGCTCGGCCTACGGAGAAAAACAGAAACACCCAGGCCAGCTCTTTACGATGCGTATATTTACCACCAGATCTGTTATGCTTGCATCTGATACAAAATGCACTTATTGCCTCAATGAATATGACAACAATATTTATTCACGGGGTAATAGAGTTCTAAACAATAGCTCCAATAACAAATAAGAGTATTGGATTTGTGTTGGGAGAGGTTTTCGTGGTTGCACGGCTTGCTCGTGATGTTGTGACCCGAAATGGCCAGATGGCACTCAAAGAGCAAACAACATTCAACTAGTGTAACAAAACAATAATTTCGCGCCATGCAAGACACGCTCGTCCGCTGAAGACAAAACAATTCCCAACACAGTATGCAATATGCATATCGTAAAGATATATAACTACACAAATATCTCTATGTACAAATATAGTACGATGGAAAACTCCATAAAAACTACACGCTCACTCCGAATTTTGAATTTGTTCTCTTCTTGCGCCTCTTACCTTACATAGCTTTTACTAAACAAAGCACTGATGCACGCAGCATATCGAACAACGTTGGCACATACACCGAAGACAACAATAATGCTGACCGTTCCAGGTTCCTACCCCGCCGGAACCAGCCCGCCACCTGGCAGCCGGTCGGTAAACTACAGACTCCACCGCTGATCCAGGTGGCGCTGCGGTCGGATTAGCGGCGGCCTGACGGCGAGCGAATACCAAGCCTTTTGTACCATTGCCAACACGTGATATGAAAGTGGAGATATGTGAAAATCTTGAAAATCACTGTACAGGGTGTCCCATAAGTTCGTTCTCACATTATGTTTGCATGTGAAACAGAGTACATTGCGTTTTGGTATATTTATGACCCCTCAATGTGCTCCCCATTTAATAGGCAAACACATGAATACATGCTGCGGCATGCCAACCGGCATGTTTGGCTGCATAGCAGGCTTAAAGTTAACCCAGACTGACTTGACATGCGCCGTGAGCTCCTCGAGGCTGGAACAGCGCTACGCTTCAATGAGCCTCAACTTCAGCATAACCAACAAATTTTTTATGAAATTTTGATCCGATGAGGTGCCTGGCATGTGATCTTGCCACAAACACCTGTCACAGTCTCCTTGCACCGCTTTTAAGCTTTGCTTGACCTGTGCACTGATGCACTGTCTTGCCTGAAGATGGGCCTACGACCTCCCGGATGCCATTTTCTCCTCTATAAATGTGTTCATACTCGCGGTTCGAGTTCAGCTTGAGGGCTGAAATTCCTCCTAGATGTTCTTGGAAAAGCATTCTGCTTCCCAAAACTGTTTCCGGGTTGCCACTTGTAACTTGATCAACTCCAGAACGCCTATAACCCCACAACACAGTGACCCTGGCCTTTTGCATAGGAACATAACGGGACGAAATGAAGGCCTCCTCCTTCGCCCTTATGGGGTTGTTTTCGGGTTTGGACGGGTGTTTCATCTCGAACGTGGACTAGTTAGTCCAGATGACCTGGTTGATGTCATCAGCCCTCTAGTTTTGTTTAGCCTCAGGCATAACGAAACTCATGTTTGGCCATTTTAAGACGTTTTTGACTGTTTTGAGCCCTCCGGTAAGCAAAGCTTAAGTCACCTTGAGTTATGTACCCCGAAAGAACACTCTTAGACAGCTGGTAATCCATCCTGAAAAGTCTGTTTACCAACTTTCTAACCCTTTGACCTTTTTGATGGCCACTTTGGCGCCACACAGTTTTGGCCACTTGGCTCATTCCTGAGGGCTGGCTAGAAAGAGGATAAACTTGCAGTTATTGACTCCCAACAAATCATCGGCGTCACTTGCTGACTGTGCGTCCAGTTAGCGATGGATATTGGCTACCGACTGGTAGGCCTCAATCACCCTCAATCGTCGCGAATGGTCACGTGCTGACTAAATACTGAGACGTACCCGTATCGGAGACCTCTATGTTGCGGCGTTAGCCGTCTCTGTAGGAAGCGGGCTCTCTAGCAAAAACCATTTTGTCTACAGAAATTAGCTACTGTGGAGCATATTTCTACCAGCCATGGCAACCATGCAAGCTCAGTTACGAACCAATTTCAGCGTGCCTTTAACCCTATTCCTGGCGGGGGGGGGGGGCCTCAGGAGCCCCCCCCTGAGGTTTTTTGGTTATATCTCCCAAACGCGTTGAGCTAGGAAGCTCAAATTTTCTGACTTTTCCTAAAAGGCTTCTACGCAACATGTCTGAAAATTTTGAGTTGATCTGACCTCAGGTCAGGTCACCAGAGGCGGTTTGGTGACGCTACCTCAGAAAAGTTTGCAATCACGCCAGAGCTAGAGTTTTTGACCGATCAATTTCTTCTCTTCAGGGTTTAGTTAGGGTACCAGTATGTGCAATTTGTATATCTCGGAATTTTGATATCGGTGACCTAAGGTCAGGTCAATTTCGCGACCTCCCCATTATAAGTCAATGGGGGAAAAATCAACTCCCTGTTTTTACCACTAAAACGGGTCGGAATGGCCCCATATACTATACATGACTTCATATACGATCAACCTTCACTACCTTGAGGTCTGTTTTGCTGTTGGGCAGCTGTGAGGTCATGTGACGTCATCAAAGGTCACCAAAGGTTTTTGGCCAATAACTCCGTACAGGAACAAGATACAGACGCGTGGATGGTCTCATTGTGTTCAGCTCGTCAAGACGCATCGAATGATATACATGATGACCTCGAGGTCACGTGACCTGAGGTCAACCTTTGACCTTGACCTTTCGAGGTTAACATATATATCATTCGATGCGGATTGACGAGAGGATCACGATGATGCCCTTAGTTTGTTCCTATCTTGACTAATTCGAAAGTTATTCGAGAAAAACTCTCTCCATATCTAGTGCCGCCATTTTGACTTTTTCGACCCCTGTGACGTCATCTTTGACCTGACCTGAAAATGACCTCAGTAAAAATTGTAGATCTTGGCCGTGCGTATCCGATGCCGTTTACTGCTTGTCGCTATCTTGCTTCGTTCTCGAGATCTCAGGGGGGGGGCCGAATCGGCCCCCCCCCCCGCCAGTTTCTTGTCCCGGCGGAGCCCGCCAGGAATAGGGTTAAGCAAGAAAGCCTAAAAACGTAAAATTTAGGTGAGAACGAACTTATGGGACACCCTGTAAGCCAGATATGTTTCTTGATGTGATTGATTGCCGATGTAGAGCATTGATATATAACATGATATAAAGGGTATCCTGCTTCAGCAGCTCGCCCGTCCGCCAGTCCTAAAATCTCAGAGCACACTCGAACAGATTGCCTTTCAACAACAGCAAAACGGGGCCTTAATGCAGCCAATACTGGCAATAGCTATGTACATCCACACAGGCAGGCGCACACTCACGCGCTCTGGCACGCAGCCGGCACGGCCTCGCTCGGCGGCGAGGTTCGCGGTCTGTGGCGGCCCCGCGCCCCCTGTTCGCCCTCCCCTGCTCTGGTAGCATGGCCCTACGTCGGGTGGGGCGGGCCGGGTAAGCGGGGCGGGGAGGGAGCTCGCCGTGACGTGTCGGTTGGGAGCGGTGCAGGGCGGCAGAGGAGGGGGACAGACAGCCTCCGGCGCGCGGCGGTCCGTCGGACGCGCAGCGCACCGGTCGGCCGGCCCGCCGAGAGCTGATTGAGCGGCAGTCTGAGCACGAGCCATCTACGCCTAGCACTCGTCTATCTAGAAAGTGTATATTTAATTGATAAATACTGCTATTGCACAGAGATTGCACACAGCAAATACAACTACGAGTAGCCAGAACCGACCGAGCGCATGCGACATTTACACCGTCCACAGCCGCGCTCCGAGAGCCCGCCAGGCTGCGGGCATATTGCTGCGTTCCCGAAACGTTCCCGTCAATTTCGCACGCCCCTGCTGCCGTCCGGCCGGCCGGGCTGAGCGCTGGACTGGCGCGGCCGACGGCGGCGCTCCTGAGGCGCCGGCGCCGCCGTCCGAGGCCGAGTCCGAGGGCTGAGATCGCCCTCCACCTTCCGTCAAAGGCGAAGGGAGCCATTGAGCAGCAATCAGGAAGACAGAACCACCTTGTTTGTTCGAGAAAGACGAGGTGAAGCCAGGCGGTGAGGTGGAGTCGGCGTCGGCACGGGGCGGTGGATGTGACCTGACGGCAGGTCAGGTCACCAGGTCAGGTCGGTGACCTGACGGCAGGTCACCGGGGGTGACGGCGCGGCGTCGGAGATGGGCTGGGGCGACGACGGTGGAACTCGAACGGGGCAGGTGGGGCCCGAGGAGTGAGAGCTCGATCAGCGGACTCTGATCATCAGCGAATGATTACCAATCGCCAGCGGCGATTGGCAGACGCCGTGACTGGCGAACACACAGATTTGTCCGAAGTGAGGCTAGTATTCCCAGTCGGGCTGGTGCCGCCGAGTTATTCGATGGTTTCGGCAACTTGCCGTGCCACTCAACGTGCAGGGCAAAGCACGATCTGCAGCTGTCTGAATAACTTTCGAATGTTTTGGCCACAAAACAGTAGCTCTGTCTTGGAGAATCGTGGCGAAAATTTTAGCGCCACCTCCACCAGAAATCAGACAGTTTGGCAACCAATCATCCTGCATTCCGGCAGGTTAAAGTCTCGACCAGCCATGGAAATCGGTCAGATAAGGAAGGGTCTACTGGGCATCTGGCATCGAAACTTGAGCCCGGTTAGGCCATCCTTAGTCAAATATAAGTACTATTCTAGTCGGGGAAGGGATCTTCTCTCTAGGGACAGGGAAGAACAACAACTAACGCCACTACTGCGACCGCTACAGGTGGGCAGAGGTGGCGCGGCTCGGGAGAGGCAGCGGTGCGACGCAGGAGGGGCGGTGTGCAGGCAGGTAAGAGCGGGTCACACAGGGGGCACCGGCCCGGTGCGGGTACGCAGGGAAGAGCGAGAGATGTAGACAAAGATAAGGCCATCAAGTGGCGATGCTAGCAGAGCAGGAACATCAGCAGTGCTGCAGAGTTCTATAAAAGATATTCACAACTATCTGCTGAATGTGTACAACACCGCCCCGAATTACGTATGTACAGCATCGTTTGGCAAAGCGCGCAGCTTATTATGAGGAAACGGACGCAGCACGATAGCCAACACAAGACACCAAGCCTGATTACAAAAATATGACCCATTCTTACCGAGCCAAGCATGCGGCGGCAGGACGCGAGAGCAGACCTAACAGAGCCGCCCGGCGGTTCGGCGCGGCGGGCCGGCGGCCTCAGCGGACCCGTGACCCGTGCAGTGACCCTCCCCTCCTGCGGCCGGCCCTCTGCCTGCACCCCGGCCCACGGCACACGCCCCCCGCCCGCCACTGATACTGCCCACTGGCCGCTGCCGACAGCAGAAACCAAGCGGCGCGCCGTCCGGCCGTCAGCGAGCAGACGGTAGCGCGGCGCGGAGAGACGGCAGCCCAGGACCGGCCAGGGCGCGCTCCTCAGTCGACTCGGCGAGTGAGGCGTCTCGAAGCAGCGGCGAGTCAGAGACGGGCGCGAGCCGGGTCGGCCAGCCTCGCCGCTCAAAGAATAACTGCATAGTCGGGGCCGGGGGACGGTGCCATATATCAATGGATCGGCACTTTGATGATGTGGTTCGGGGAGATGTACTGAAATCCCATGCCGGCCACGCCCATGCTGGCCGTCTCCAGAGATATTCTGAAACAGAGACGAGGACGAGATGTTGGTTGATTGAAGCATTACAGAAATATAACCCGCGCCCGGCTGGGGGTCCTGGATTTCCACGCCCTGCTGGGGGGGGGGGGTGTTTGAACACCCCCCCTTGTAACTCGGCTCCTGGGCCACGTAGCGATACGCGGAAGGCGGCGTTCGAAAGAGCGTCAAAAATAATGACGAAATCACTTCGGTCAATTTTTTGGTCAGGTCAAAGGTCAGGTCACCAGAGGTCATTGAAGGCAACATTTCGCCGATTTCCAGGTCGAATGTCAAAAATTTCCAAGAAGCCAACGCATAACTCGAGAACCAATAGAGCTACAGCGCCGCGGAAAAGCGCATTCGATAGTCCTATTAACGCCCTTTCTGAGTAATTCTCTCAGATTTGACCTAACGTCAACGGTTTTGCCTGCAGGGGGCAAAAACTGCAAAAATAGCCGATTTTTTCGGAAACAGTTTTTCTGCAATAACTTTTGACCCAAGCCCTGTACGAGCTTACTTTTACCGGCATCGTGTTCCTCTCGTCAAGACGCATCGAATGAACTATAACTTGACCTTGAAAGGTCAACTTGAAAATTTGACCTCAGGTCAAGGTCATGACCTGACCGGAAAGGGTCATGTTGCATATCAGTCGATCCGTATCGTCGAGCTGAACACATCTAAGGCGTTTTCATCGCTCTAGCATGCCCCTATCAAAAGTTATTTGCGAAAAACTGTTAGATACCATTTGTGACCTAAGATGACCTCAGGGCATACACAAGGGTCACGGACACCATTTTCATGTTCAGTGTGTCTAATCCACTTGTAATTCGGTGTTTGGGAGTGTTTATAATGTCTTTCGTCCAAAAGAGGCGCATTTCAATTTTCTCCCATTGACTTATAAGGGGGAGGTCGCAAAATTGACCTGACCTTAGGTCATCGATATCAAAATTCTGAGATATACATTTTGTACATGCTATTGCTCTTAGCAATCGCTGAAAGTTTCAAAGCGATCGGTCATTCGGTGTAGCTATGACAGACATTGAAACTTTTTATGAGGTGAGGTCACTTCAAGTGACCTGGTGACCTGACCTTAGATGACCTTGGTCTGAAATTTTCACAACATGTGTAGAATTGATGTATGATAAGGTGTACAAAAAACGGCGGCGCTCCGCGCCGCCGTTTTTGAGATATTCGCAAAAAAACACAAGGGGGGGGGTGTTCAAACACCCCCCCCCAGCAGGGCGCGGGATAAGACACACACACATTTTAGCCTAGTTTATCTCAATATATGTGCAAAAGGCAAAATACGAGATAATAAACGAATGTCATCTCATGACCAGCAAAACTTGTTATCAAAAACAGCCATGTTTTCATACGTTACTGGGATGAAATCAACAAATCATTGACAAATGACAACACCTATGCTATAAGGCAACAATGGTTACAAACGTCCTTTACGACGTTCCGACGCTTCATACGTAGCCCCAGAACCGAGCGCCTGACATGATGCTGTGCCGCATGACAAGTAGAGTTATAGTTCATTCCATAGATGGCGCTAGTGACGAACGCCTGATATGATGCTGTGCCGCATGACAAGTTAAGTTTTTGTTCAATCCATAGATGGCACTAGTGACGAGCGCCTGATAAGATGCTGTGCCGCATGGCAAGTAGAGCTATCGTTCCATCCATAGATGGCGCCAGTGACGAGTGCCTGAAAGCTGCATGGCAAGTATAATTCTCGTTCCATCCATAGATGGCGCTAGTGACGAACGCCTATTACGATGCTGTGCCGCATGACAAATACAGTTCTCGTTCAGTCCATAGATGGCGCTAGTGACGAGCGCCTGAATTGATACTGTGCCGTAAAACAGGTACAGCTCTCTCGTTCAATCCATAGATGGCGCTAGTGACGAGCGCCTGAATTGATAGTTGATACTGACTACTGTGCCGTAAGACAGGTACAGTTCTCGTTCAATCCATAGATGGCGCTAGTGACCGGCGTCTGAATTGATGCCGTGCCGCATTGCAAGAGCAGTTCTCTTCAAAACATACAATGGCGCTAGTGACTGGGAGGCGGGAGCAGTGAGCACACGGGGGGGGGGGGGGGGAGTAGCATCACCTCACACAGCACTCATAAACACAAAATCCAAACTGAAACACTTGGAACCAGGTAAAAGTGAAAAGTCTGATGCAGCCATCGTTCGCGATTCGTCTGCCATTATGAGATTAGAACAAAAAGGGAGGCATTAATTGTAGATTTAAAAATATAAAAGCTTCTGTTTAGAAAACAAGTTATCTCAGCATATGTCGACAAGCCACACAGCACACGAAATCAGAAGTTTCACACGAAGGCAGGAGCATCAGCAGCAGGGGCATCAGCAGCAGGGGCAGCAGTAGCACACTCCTCGGGATGACGGCAGTGAGAAGCGAGTCAATCACACGCCTTGGTGACGGAAGCGGGGAGGCACACACAGCACCCTCCCAACCTCAGGTTGATGAGATACACGGCCAGCGACACATTGTCGGGGGCGCCTGTGATGCTGATGGTGCGGTCCGTGTTGCCGCACTCCCGGTCCTTCTCCTCACAGTTGCTGATGCGGATGGTAGCGCCACTGATCTGCCTGCGGACCAATTGAGAGGTAGAAGTTACGGGGACGGTCGAGAGGTGTCACTGTCGGCGGCGGCGGCCTCACCTGGTGTTGATGAGGTACTGCGCCAGCGCCACCTGGTCGCCCGTGCCCTTGATGGTGATGACGCGGTCCTGGTGGGTGGAGTCCTCAGTGGTGTCGTCGAACTTGGAGATGGTGATCATGGCGCCGGTTATTTGTCTGGGGATGGCAGTAGCAGGAGTCGAGACCGTTAGTAAAGCAGAAGCAGGGAAAGAAGGCCACCGGAGAGAGACCCCTGAGAAGCATGGCGCCATGTGCCACGAGTAATTAGCATGGCTAATTACCATCAGCTGGCTCACAACCCCTGATGCAGCCAAAGGCAGCATCAGGAGCCATCAGGGCCATCAAGTAGCAGCATTGTGTTAGTAAGCATGATAGCGAATAGCGATGTTATTAGCATCGGTTATTGTAAAAGCAGCGCACAGAAAACGGGAAAAGTTTCCTATAGTTACCAAAGCATGAAGACCGGTAAATAATGAGCACCCAAGCACCCAAACCCCAAATAAAGCAGGCTAGCACCACTAACAGAACAGCAGCACAGGAGCCGGAGTTTCAACCGAAAGAACACCCAGCATCATTTCCCCGGGGACCTCTAAAAAGCTCTCTACGTCATTTCGTTCGCTGACTCGGCTCTAAACGCCACTAAAAATCCCCGTTTACGCACCAGCGAGATCTAGCGAACTGTTCAGTATTCTTCGGCGGACTAATAAAGCGAGCTGGGCCAGCGGTCCATTGAGTTAGTGAGACCGCGGACGTCTGGGCTGGTCAGTGACTGGTGTTCCGCGCGGGTTGAACAGTGGCTGGAGTGCTACCGTGGGCTGGTCAGTGACTGATGTTACCCTGGGTGGAACAGTGGTTGAAGTGCTACCGTGGACTGGTCAGTGGCTAGTAGTGGTGCCAATTTCATGAAATTTCAATTCCAATTCCGATCCAATTCCAAGAAATTGCCAAGTAAATTTCCAATTTTGTCCAAAGCGGGGGCTATTCCAATTTTTAACGATTTTTGCATTTTTTGCGTAAATTTTAAAAGTGTTTAAAAGCGTTTTAAAGGCCTCCGTTTTAACATTTTAAATTTTAAAGGCCTTGTGTTCCGATTAATTTCCAAAAAAAATGTTAAGAATTCCGTCCAAATTCCAAATTGGAATTGGACAAAAATTGGAATTCCAAGAAAAGAAATTCCGATTGGCACCAATAGTGGCTAGTGTTTCCCCGGGTCGAACAGTGGCTGAAGTGCTACCGTGGACTTGTCAGTGGCTAGTGTTGTAACCCCGGGTCAGGAAGAAGCTTCCTGGATAGTTCAGTGACTGGTGTAACCATGGTACCATCTCATTCATGCACTGGGGTTGGTCTGTGGTCGGTGACTCGGTGTAAGCTGTATCCCTCTGTGTCAGAGAGTAGCCGTAAGCTCCCTGGGTCGGTAAGTGATGACAGTCGGCGGTCACAGCCGGGACCCTCTCCCATCTCACCTGATCTCGGCGATCTTGGTGCCGCCCTTGCCGATGATGCAGCCGATCAGCTCGTTGGGCACGGTGATCTCGTGCGACTGGGTGCAAGGGCCGGCGGTGGGCGGCGTCCTCAGCTGGGAGCCGGCCAGCGCTGCCAGAGCTGTCATCGCTGCATAGACACGGAGACACACGGTCAGTCGGGTCACAGGGGACGCCCGGAACGGAGCGGCAGCGGCACGGAACGAGCAGGGCAAGTCGTGGGCGCTAATGAAGCTCTCACACTTCCGCTGCACAAAGAACCATAATAGCTTAGATTAGATCTAACATTAATTTGTAGATTTAGTGCATCGATACGGTTTGTCAAACGTCAACATTTTTCTTCGGTCAAATGAGTCTCTCCGCTGGAGTGTGTTAGTAATTTGAGAGCGAGTAGTGGTAGGTATACTGGCTGTCTGCTGTCGGCGCCGGTGTCATAGGGGCCTGTCAGGTCACAGCAGCTGTCAGTGACCGCTGCTGTCGACGACAGTGGCTGACGGTGCGGCGGGAGACTGCCGCCCTGACGTCCCAGCTGCGTCGCGCTCCCCAGTGGCCGGCCCTCCCCACCCCAGCTCCTGATCAGCCATTCCGGGCACGACAGACGCTGCTAGGAGGGCCGCGGGCGCCACTGACCGCATCCCATCCGGCTACGACCGGCTACGGCCTGGCCCGGTCTGTGGTGCAGCCACTGCTTCACTCATAGCAACAGCCACTGCCCAGCCAAGACAACAGTCAACTGCCCAGCCAGGACATCAGTCACTGTCCCATGGCAACAGCCACTGTCCAGACAAGACAGCAGCCACTGCCCAGCCACGGCAACAGCCACTACCCAGCCATACGGCAAAAGTCCCCACCCGGCTTTAGCGGCTTAGAAGTTCGCCAGTCGTCTCCTAAGGCACGGCACTGGCGTCCACTGAGCTGTGGAACCACCCAGAAAAACAAACAGTCGGCTCGCTGACTCTCGCTCTTCAAAACGAGAAAATCGCTGGTATTTTTCGTTTGCGAAGTGGCTCTCTCTGCCGTGGCTGCGCTGTTGACTCGGGGCGGTCGGAGCGGGCTGGGCCGGACTGACCGTCTGAAGAGTGCCGCGCCGGGGTCAGCCGGCCCTGACCGCCGGCCGCGATCCGACTGTTTTATTCAGCGCCGTCTTTGTCGGTGGGAGGGCGTGACTGACGGCCCGGGAGGCGCGCCCTCCCTGATTGAGTTATCGTGGATTTACGCTCTGCCTCACCTGGCTGAGGTGCGGCCGGAGCGGCCGCCGGCTCTGAAATATTCAGACGCAACGCCGCGGCCGGCGGTCGGGAGAGGCCAAAAACACGCGGCCGAAGGAGACTTGTGCCACGACTGGTTTGGAGCGGGGATTTCTCCGCCTGGTACGGAGCTGGGGTGAGTCGTGCACGACAGGGGAACGGGCTGTCTTGGCGGTACCGCCAGCGATATACACACATGGAAAGGAAATAAAACAAACTTTTGAGGAGCACCTATACCCTCCCTCGGTTCCCTCTTATTCATATTTATCAGGCGTGGTAATTCTTTGGAGTTGAACAAAAAGTCAAAGAAAAGTGGTAAAATTTGTGCGGTAACCACGGTTAGCTTTCGTCAAACAGTTCCCTTCTTTAATATTCTTTTGCCCAACTTATCTTACGAAACAAAAACGCAGCCGCTCATCTGTTCATCAGTAATGAGATCGTGCCTTGTGTTGCTCATGTAGTCATGCCATCATTGGCATAAACGTCACTTTGATGTCCGGAAATCCACTGATCAAAAATTGCACGGCAAATCAGAACTCAACAACCTGCAGACATTGTTATCGATTCCAATTTAGCACGGCACAACCAGACTATCACGGCATTCCGAGATAGATTACAGCAGATAGGCAGAACATTCTTCAGACGAACATACGGGAAGTGTATAATGTATTCACATAGTGGATGCATTCGTGCAGCGCGACACTCTCACTGCCTCTCAGTGGTTATGGATCAGATCGACCCGTAATGGCATTCCACTCGTGATTTCTAATATAAGTGCGGAAATTGGTCTGCTCGTTTACTGAACCCACGTGCAGTAGCATTCCAACCTAGCCACTTCTGTTCATCTGACGGGCTGCTACGGCTTACCGCGATACCGCATTATTGGTTCAATCATCACAAAACCAATGCAAGTGGCATAATTGGGATACTTTGTCCGAGTGATCGTGCCAAGCACGTGTGTGCAGAGCACATGTGCTGGTGCCGCTTGGTACATCAATTCGTGGTAGTGTTGCCGAAGCCGCCGTTTTGAGGTACTAATAAAATTGCCATTTATTTTCAATGTCTTCTTTCTAAGTGAGCCCATGTTGATTTCTCTGAGACATATGCCCTATTCTAGCCATGATAGTTCAAGTAAATGAATGTTAAAAGGTGAAAAAGCACTACTTTTTGTTCACAATTCATTAACTAATCCAGACCATAAAACACGGACCATTAACTCGCCCGGCCAGAGACCAAATGATGCTCCGCAGAGAGATAACAGATCGTGCTGTCCCTGGGCGGGCACCGTTCTCGGCTGGACCGATCCTTTGTGCCTCCAGTGACGTCATAGGCCGGATTTCTGTGACGCGTGCCATTGTTCATAGCTCAGCGCTTCGCTTCCGACCGTGACAGAGACGGGGCAGCGCGCCAGCCCACCGCCCGGGCCCGCCCGCCAGCCAGAGGTAATATTAGAAGCATTCGCTCGGACAATCTGTACCGGGGAGTGGCCCTTTTTAACCGTCATGGATGCTGCTGTCCGCCACTAAAACCGGAATATCAGCCAACTTCAGCGCGGCTGTGTCACTTTGGGACGCAGATAGGCGCCGGTGTACACTTATGAGCGAGTTACTGAGGCAAGTCGCCGACCCGGCTCATCAGCAAATAGTACGCCAGTTTATGACACACAGTCAGCCTATATCAGAGCCGTGGCGGGCTTTCAGTCGCTGCAAATAAATTAATGAATGCAAATCTGTGCTGGCAGACGCCCAGTTAGCTGGAGGGCAGCGTTCTGCCAGCGCTCTGATAAGGAGCCGTCACAAGGTGCGGCCAGAAAACTCTACTCACGGCTCACGCACGTGGACCAACTTGGCAACAGAGCCCGATCTGAACAGGCTCCATTATATCCAATGTAGGTTGTCACCTTGCATTATCCAAGAAGTGACTATGATATAATTTACTTGATGTAATAGATGCTGAAGGGCATAGTATGCAAAATTAAATTGGCCGTAAAGTGATCTAAAATGGGCTGTTTTGCACACATTTGGAAGATTCACCACTTAAGGCAGCACTAGCGCTTATACAGGCGCTTTCCTCGTGTCTGCTTTAAACGCTATATACTCAGGTGCATAGCAAAAATTATATAACTTCATGGGCAAAAATGAATGAAAGGCGATGTCGCCGTAACTAATAGGGCATTCTATTGATTCGTAATCTAATTTAAAGCCTCCGGTCCTACATGCGATAACATCTGAGCATCGATAACATAGATCGTGCATCTGAATGAATAGTCGCAATGAAGCAAAAATACCCACCCAATTCCAGTCTACGGAGGAAAACCGCAATTACTGCACCTTTTCCAGCTTTCTCATCTCCAGCGATGCCTGATCAAACTGCTTAAAGTAATCGGTGAGCGAGAGGCGCGACCTTTTGGTCAAAGCGCTCAGCTAAATTGAAACAGATCCCACTCAAAGTGCGGCGATTGGCCTGCGGTGTGGACGGTCACGAGCGCGCGCTGTGCAGCCCGCAGGCGCTGATGTCTCAGGGCTCAGCGTCTGTCGATTCGCTTGCACTGATGTCTCACAGCCTCAGGACCTAAGGTCTGGTGGGCCACAGGCGCTGGTGCCTCCGGGCTCAGCGACTATTGACCGGCAGGCACTGATGTTTCAAGGTCCAAGGACTGCTTCCCGGCAAGTACTGGTGCCTCAGGGCTAACGGACTGCACTTTGCACTTGCTGGTGGTCCAGAGTCCAGGGACTGCTGACCCGCCAGTCCTGTTGGCCCGGGGGCCCGGGGGCCCGGGTTTCAAAGACTGCGCTGCGAGCGGCACCCACCTGATGTGTTGGTCTGGATGGCGTTGTGAGCTCCGCCCAGACCTCCGAGCAGACTGGCCAGCGGGTTCGACTTGCTCGGCTGAACAGCACAGGCACACAAATCGGATGGGTTATAGCACTCTATCTTGTGTGTAATACACATAGACAAACGGATGGCAGCAGCGCGTTACATAGCCAGCTTTTCAATAAGAGATTAATCAATAGACATTTGGTAAAAATCCGACGGCCCCACAAATCAAAACAGAGCATTTTTGTTAGAACTAGCTTTTTATTTGAGACGTAAACAATAAGAATTAACAATAATGCCATGAAATTATCTGTAAGTAGGTATAGATAACAGCTGATAATGACCGCATTACAAATGCGAGAAATAGCAACTCACATTTAACAATACATTTATTGCACGAACTATTCTGTATACGTTTATTTAATGACAGTCCGAGATTACCTTGAGAGAAGAAAATATCCAAAAACACGCCTACTTATGTTACACGCATGCTCACTCGCTGAAACCAATCCGCATGCTGAGCATGAATGATGGAAACCGGGAGAAAGACATGCTTGGGGGTTCGAGATGTAGCATGCCAAGTCTGAACATCTCGAATAAAAATATGAATTGCTCATATTTGTGCACTGCATTCGCCACACACCTTAGATGATTCTCAAAATGTCAAAGGTAGGTAGTGATTATATATTACAGTGCATGAAAATACACCAACCGGAACATTGCAAGTGAAATGCTCTCAGACGAACCAGGCTTATCAAGGCATTCAATAATATGCGCACTTAAATGTCGCACTAGGAAACTGACGTAATGTAGATTTTACTCCAATATCTGGAGCTGTGTTGAAAAAGATCCATGGTTCTGCGTCTGAGAGAGGTCTCTACCAATCGCTCCGCACACGCACTGCTGGCTGTGGTACTTCGGCGACAGACCGTCGTCAAAGACAGTCCTTCTAACAGACTGCAGTCTGGGCGGCCAGACCTGAATTCTGAGCCGACAGGCTTACATTCTGAGCCGCCAGAGCTTGAAGTCTGAGTAGTGAGACTTTGAGGGCAGGCGAGGTGGCAGGCAGTGAAGTGGGCATGAAAGCACCGTCGGCAAGCAAGGTTTGAGGTCAGCAGGCTGGGTACAACAGACAGGGTGACAGGCTAGACCGACAGTCCGATCTTTCGGTCCGACTGCAGGGAAGATGACATGCGTCTGCTATCTAAGCTCCGATAAGGATATCAGACAGGAGGCAAGCAAGACTCTAGTCCGTAGACCGGACGGGTCGCTCGTCCAGATCCGGTCCGCGGGCTGACCCTCTGACCGGTCAAGGGTCACCATGCAGGCGGTTCGAGCCGCGCCGGCGCACGCCGGGTCACTTACGTCTGGGAAGGCCGGCGGCAGGCTCGGTAACAGGATGTGTCCGGCCTTGGCGTCTAGGAAGTGAGGGGACATATGTGCTGCCAGAGGCGTGTGCGGAGCGATGACGGGCGGCGACGAGTGACCTCCGGCCGGTGGCGCTCCGGCCAGGAACGGGAGCTGACCCGTACTCACGTCGGCGGCGGCGCCGGCCGACGGCAGGCCGAAGCCGCCCGGCAGCGCGAAGTTCTGATTGCCCGCGAACAGCACGGGGCTGGCGGCGGTGCCCACCTGAGCCTTGGGCCGGTACGGGATGGTGGCGCCCTTGGGCGGAGACTGCGGCACATAAAAGGGGGAAGGCGGTCAGGGGGCGGTGAGCGAGCGTGAAGGGAAGAGGAGAGGTAATGATGGTGGTAGGAGATAAAGAGAGAGAGAAAGAGAGAGAGAGAGAAAGAGAGAGAGAGAGAGAGAGAGAGGTGGAGGGAGGGAGGGAGGGAGGGAGGAAGGGAGAAAAAGGGAAGGGCAGAACATAGTATAATGTACAGCATGCATATATTCGGTGTTCATCATCTTTTTTCCTCCATTTCTTCTATGTGTACGTTTGGTTTTCGTTGGATTGAAACCGCTAAGCGGTATAATTTAGAATCGAACATTTGACATCCATCTGAATAGCTGGGACATATTGGCGCGGCTACCTGAAAGGGTTCTCACAGGAGAGAGGAGAGAGTGGATAGAGAGAGGGGGAGAGGTGCGGAGCTGCGGGCCGGGGAGGGAGGAGTGACTGGTCGCCTGAGGCGGCTCGGAAGGCGTTCATAACGTCGCGAGGCGCCGCGGTGGACAGAGGACAGGCCCCATCGGCCAGCAGCCACCGGCACCAGACAATAACCGGTCGCCAGCAGCGGCAATTACGCCACAAAGACCGAGACGGCGACTCAAATGAGTTGGGCGCCGGCCGCTGCGGCTGGGGGCGGCACCTGCGCACTGTGCGCCGCCTTCGGTGGCTGTTTTGAGGGAAACTCTACAATAACAAGCTCGCTCAAGCAGATGATTTGATATGAAATAATAAATGACGTTGTTGAAAATTTAGTGAACTAGGACCACGTCAAGTTGTTACTCAAAAAATCATTTAAAAATAGCAATTGTAAGAATTATTTGCGATAAAACACTTCTTATACCGCCACAAATCGTAACATGTAAGGTGGAAGCAGTTCGTATGTTTTAAAAGTATGACACATTTCATTTCCTTTTACAAGAAGGCAAATCACATGTTTAGTGATGTTTATTGTTATGTGACAAAGCTGATAGGTATATCTGTTTAAATATTACCGAACAAATCGCACAAACGAACTTCAAAACAAACACTTTTCACTGAATGCTACAGTCAAACTAATAGGCGAATCTTTGTGGTTACTCGAACCCAATCTTACCTCAAGCATGACACAGCAGATGTGGTAGATGCACTGGGTGATGGCATCTGTGGTACCCGACACGGTCACCGCCCTCTCTGTAGAGTTGGGCAGCATCTCACTCGCCACCTGCGAACAGAGTCGTTTTAACGACGGGGATAGGACATACGTCCAAAATAGCTGCTTTGGTATAGGCATGCTCTAGAACCAGGGCATCTATCCAAACAAGGTTAGTGCATTTGTGGGGTGTGCCTAGCAGTGTATGTTATATAATTGATGTGTGGGCTGAAGTCTAAGCGTGTGAAGTGTCTCGGCTGAGCATTTCGTGCTAATTAATGCGCCGAGCTCTGCATATTTACTGGAGGCACGAAAACCAATAAGCTAGAGGGTGTACAGTGATAATAGAGGCTATACAAAATGATAAGATGGCATGCTATATGTACGTTTTCGAATGCATGCCGTCACAATATGCCAAGTCGATTGCAAATACCAGCCAGAAGGTCAACTATTTTAACCGAGCGATATTGCATCATGTTGAATCCTATTTAGCAAAGCAAGTGAGCTGCTATGCCTAGAATTGACTTCAAATAAAACCTAAACCAATTGAAGACAGTCTCATTTTCCCATCTCCATTGTTCACAATTGAATATTCCAGTCGGCGCTCCTGTCATGGCTACAGCTATGACCAATGCAGTGCCTTTATCGCCACTTCAGGTGGTCCCCTGCTCTCTAAGGTGCACAGGCTAGTTGACCTCTACATTAGCCACCCCTGACCTCTGCAGGATGACCTCGCTCCGGTCGGCAGCGCCCACTGATTACCCCTCGGTGGCTGATCAGGTCAGGTGAGGCCCGGCCCGGCCCATTATCTGGCCGTTATTTGCCAGCACGGCACGGTGTTCCGGGGTCATTTGCGCCGGTCGTTCGCACACCGCACCGGAGGGCAGTAAAGGCGCTGTGAGCCGCTGTGCCACTCTGTTCTGCTGGTTAACACACCTCCACGGCTCGTTATGGCTGACCGAGGCAGCCTGGGTCGCCACACCACCGTGGTCACACGTAAATTGGTTAAGTAATAGCCCGGTGCTCTTGAAGATTTTCATCTTGCAAGCGGTTACCGAGTAGGATAATTAAAGCAGATAACTCGCTGCGGGATTCGCTAATTCATACTTCCATTGCGGAACTTGCGGTTTGAGGAAACAATTGTTCAAGGTGTCAGGAGGGATGCTGTCATAAGAAGCTTTTTCTTGCAGCTATCCAGACGCGGACTTTTTCAGATAAGTCTGGAGAAACAACAATCTTGGACAAACTCTGAGAGAACTTGCGCCCTAACTTTACCCTAGCCTGTCACTGCCAGTGCTAGACCCAGACTGTCTCCCGGTCCAACTCTCCAATTTGAGTCGGCGTACATCATGTGCAGAGGCTGGTGGGTCGGTGGCCCATTTTGACAGGGTCAGACAAAACGTGGTTTTACACTCATCACCAACTTAGTGGGTCTCTGTGAACTACTGCGGACACTTGTGGACCAGTGTGGACTTTTCAAACCGTCGAGAGAACATAATAGGCAGATCGTTACCAGTCTGACTACTGACTAGTGACTTCATTTCGCGCTGCGAACAGCATATCACTGCATGTGCTCGTATTATTGCATGCCCACCCGTGCCAGTCACGTGTGCTAGTGTAACGGTCGCACCCAGCGGCCTGAGGTCGACCTTCTCACCTGAATGCTGGCTCCGGTGACCTCTCTGATCTCTTTGATCTTGGCGCCGGCCTTCCCGATCAGCGATCCACACTGGGAGGCCGGGACAATGAGACGCAGGGTGATGGGGGGACGGGGCGCACCGCCGCCGCCGCCGCTCTGGAGGCCAGCAGCCTGCAACACAGAGAAAACACAGTCATACACCGTCACATCGCCCTATAGTCATAGGTCAAAAGGTAGAGAAACGGATTTGCTCTGTGACAAAAGGAGTGGAATCATAAAACAAATCCATGTTAATACATTGGACGACTCAGAAGTCAGAGCAATGCGTAAATCTGAGATTCCGATTCCGCGACTTATCAGTATTTGCATTATTGCATTAAATTCTATTTATTGGTAGCCTCCATTGGCAATTTTCTTTTCAGAAGTTCTCAATAACAGGTTCTCTTTTAACATTTTGCCTCATTTACAATGCCGGCATTTTGCTGAAACTGGCGCAGATTGATATTTCTCACATAAATCTTTTCGGAAGGTAGTTTGAATCACAACATGCTGGAACGGTTAATGAAAAATACTCCTTTCACTGGCGCGTCTATTCCCAGTTGTTTCTATGTCAGCGCGATGGAGCTGCCGGCCGAAAGCCGTCGGATCCATCACCGCCGCTGTGGCGGTGAGGGTTCCTTTGGCCGCTGGGTCGGACGGTGCCAGGCGGTACCAGTCGCCCCTCGGCTCGGGCGGGACGGAGCGCCACTCACATCGACCGGCCTCTGGTGTGTGGGAGGGACACGGCTCTCCGCGGCACCCAGGTGTCAACGAGCAGCTCCCGGCGCTGCAGCGGCCTCCTCCGCACCTCACCATAAAACACAGAGCGTCTCCTGACACGGCAGTAATCTCCAACCCTCCTGATGTCATGCTAATAGCAATGGACAATGGAGCTGTCTATATTGATAGGTATACTACAAGGCCAACATGTTTCTGTAGCTCCTTTACTCCCAGATAGACAACAAAAATATTTGAAGCACCCACCATTTGCTACGGCTTGAATCATCCGCGATTAGGAGCTAAACGCTGAACCTACATTGACTGTTGGATGTCCTGGGACTGGGTATATCTTACCGTAATGCAGTATTATCACAGTATTGAACTGAATAGTGAATACAATCATATATAACGTTTCTGAACACGTTAACTCATCGCGTTTCTTTGCATTATCTAGTTTTCTGAAGCAGCTCTGGGTCTGAACCGAACACATCTTTCCTGTAGACTCGGTCGCACCGAAGTTGTCTCCATTGACCGGTAGTCTCGTGATCCCTTCCGGCCGGTGGCCATCCAATTCGCTGCGAGGTGCGGCGCTCTCTCGCCGAGTCCCGCGTCCGCCGGGGTGTCAGGAGACGAACCAATTCCAGGAAAACCAGACTGCACGTAATGCACGAGAATCGCGGACGTGAAATTGAACGCACGCAAGTTATGATGCAGTAAAACATGCACGGGTTCAGAGTGTATTTGAAGGCGTCCTGCCCACCGGCAATTGGCGCTCAATGCTCGCCAGGAGTTGTAATGTGAGACGATAGAAAGTTACGCCCTCGGCTGTGGCGTAGCTTCTCTCAGACAATATTGAACTTCATTTATTTTGCCGCCTGTCAGCCAGTTTGCCAGTTCTCGAGCTCCTGAGCAGATAGAGTAGAGTGAGGCTCTAAGAAACGGCAAAGCCCGCGTCATATAGTGGGTGATTATTTTGCAGCATAGAGTACCATATCTCGTTCCCTCAACCCCACCCCGCCTCGGCCGCCCCACCCTAACATTCCATCTCCCTCACTCCTTCCCCCACTTGTCTCCTCGCCTCCCTCACCCCTTCTCTCATTTGACATCCCTTATCCCATCACCTCTAACTCCTGTCCCCAATCGTCTCCCTCTCGTCTCCCCAATTGTCTCTCCTATTCGTCTCCCATCTCGCCTCCCCTACTAGTCTCCCCATCTCGTCTCCCCAATCGTCTCCTCTACTTGTCTACCCTCTCGTCTCCCCTTACACGTTTACCCAGTACCCACTCGTCGTCCCCTGCTCGTCTCCCGTCTCCCCGATCCCGTCCCCAGGCGGCGCCCGTCCGGGCTGCAGCGGCCGTCGACCGTCTGCGTCTCAGCAGTTAGCCGAGGTAATATCGCTTTATAGGTGCGGCCGCTACCCCGCCACTGGACACACGTTCGGCGGTAATGGGCGCCACCGGAGCACCGGCGTCGTAAACCACGCCTCAAGTTCGGCACCAAATCAAATATTCACCAGCGTCCCGCAGCAACACATTCGCCCACCGCGGCGTCCATATCGAATTCATAGGTTACGAGCTAGGCGGCCGGCAGGCTAGGCCGTCCACCGAGGCCGCTGCTGAATTAACCACGCCCCCAGTGCGCAGGGCTGAGTGACGACTGCCGCCGGCTGCATGACCGCTGGGTGACCGGGTTACAGAGACGAGACGCCGTGTGGTGACCTTAGCACGGGGAAGGGAGATGGCCGAGACGAGCAGGTCAGTCAGCCTCCCGGCTGCTCCACGAAGATGGCTGCGAGAGGGAGAAATATGTGGTTCACAGCTTCTCCGCTCTTTCTCCATCCTTCTCTATCTTGTCTTCTTTCGCCTGCTTCTGTCATTTTGACGGTCCCGAGAGTACATCCTCGTTGCCACTTCTTCGCCGCTCTTCTGCCTTCCACCTTCATCTGACATCCCATGCTCTGCCGTCCCTCCTCCCACGCCTCCGTCCTCTGCAGCTCACTCCGCTCGCTCTATTCCTCCCCGCTCTGCTCCGGCGGATCGGTCACCCCCGATTGATGACCACACGACTTCCTTTGGTCCAGGTAAGCCGAGCTGGTCGGCGCAATGCCGTTCGGGGGCCGGCAGATTGACACTAATCTGACATACCGGAGCGGCGGCCATCCGTTCGTGTCGCCGTAATTGCGCCTCGGTAAGAGACATACCTAACTCCTGGTAACCAGGCCGCAGCCAGCATACCATCGTACCAGCAATCACACGACCATCGCCCTCCATCGCCATCGCCACAGCGCGATCAACACTGCGACAACGCCACCGTAGCAGTGCCGGGCCTCCGTCAATAATGGGGGAAATTTTAACTTTGTCCGATCAATCAGCAGCCCTGTGACTTTCCAGATAAGTTATAATCTACTCGGCCGGCCGCGAGGGGCGGTGGATTAGGCCAATCGCCGTCGGCGGTCGCAGCAGACGGTGCAAGTCACAGTCAACCGGCGACGGAGACGGAGACGGAAGACGGAGACGGAGACGGGAGACGGAGACGGAGATAAAGACGGAGACGGAGACGGAGACGGAGACGGAGACGGAGACGGAGACAAAGACGGCAGAGAGACGGAGACGGAGACGAAGATGTTAGATGGTTGACGGAGCAAGAGACGGAGTCGGAGTCGGAGACGGAGATAGAGACGGAGAAGGAAAGGCTGAGACGGATGCAGTAGAGAAAAAGATGGAGACCGAGACAGAACAGAGACGATAGACGTTAGACGGTAGACGGTAGACGGTGGACGGTAGATGATAGACGGAGATAGATGATAGACGGATACAGGACGGGGACGGGACGGAGACAGAGACGGAGACGGGAGACGGGAGACAGGAGATGAAGACAGTGACAAAGACGGAGATAAAAGAGAGGGATATGGAAACGGATATGAATACAGAGACTAAGACGGAGGCGGAGAGGGCGAGGAAAAGAGAGTGGGAACGGAGTATGAAACAGATATGGGACGGAACCGGATATGATTATGTCAAATGAGCGATAGAATATCGGGCAAGAGGCGAGCAAGACAGAAGAGATATCCAAGATAATTAAAAAAGTAATACCTTCCGGAGAGAAGAAGACGGTAAAAGGAGTAATGAGGGAAAATACAGGGAAAAAGAAGGTAGGAATTCCATGAAACACAAAAAGAAAGAAAATGTAATACCGTAAAGTGGGGCTATTTGAGACAGTGGGGCTATTTGAGACAGTATTTAAAATCGCTATAAAATGAAGAGCGTTTGATTTTTATGTGATATTTTTGCTCAGGAAGGTGTGGAATCGAGCAGTAAATCGCCTGAGCAAAAATTAAGCATAAATTTCCAACGGTTTTTATTTTATAACAATTTTAAATACTGTCTCAAATAGCCCCACTGTCTCAAATAGCCCCACTGTCTCAAATAGCCCCACCTTACGGTACCCTAAAAAAAGAGACAGCATTAGGGAGACCGCTACAACGTAAACATGGATCCAAACGCATGAGAAGTCGGAAGTGTAGCCAGCGGTATTCAGGACGGCAGGAGTGGCGAGTGGAGGGAAGCCGATCTAGCCACACCGTCTGACTGCCTGACGCGAGCACCGCTATTGAACACGCGCGTCGACAGCAGAGTCGATGGATCAGCCGAGAACCATCCGACTGCACCGGCCCAACCAAACGAGCGCCCCCAGCGTCGCCCCGAGCGGCTGCTAGGCCGGCGCGCCCGACTCTGCGCACGTACAGAGTAATGGGCGACACCGATTGTCAACAGGGCGCGGGTGTCTGACGAGGGATGGTCGCAGCGGGCCGCGCCGCGGCGCCTCGAGCGAGGAGCGCGCGGTGCCTGACGACCCGGATATGAGGCGGCGAGATGTTTTTATCCGCGCGTAGCTCGCCTTCAGTTGAGGGCGACGCTGATGGCCGCTGCATTTCTGGTCGCTTTGTGTGCGGCTGTCGCGTCATCGACCGACGGCAGCGGCGGCCGGGGCGGGGGCGGGGGCGGGAGCGGCGCGAGGTGTCAGCCACCAGGGAGAGGGCCGCCCAGACGGCGTGGCGTCCAGTCGAGGGAAGCCGGAGCTGTGGGAAGGTTGCCGGCTCGGTGCAGTCTAGCCGGGTGGGCTGGGGTCTGTTAACGATGACTTCTGCCTAACGTCTTGACCTTAACCACAACCGACCATCCGCGGCAAAGTCAACAATGGCTAGTCAGTTTTTCCAAGTGCGCGAGCAAAAAGAGCTGCACACGGATATTGACGTTTATGATTTGTTTTCCTATGTTGCAAGGATAGATGAAACAGCACAAAAATATAAAAATAGGTGACCAGGATCAAAGTAGAGGCTTGCCTGCTTTAAATCGTGCGTGGAAAGTACGAGGACGCACCTCAGTGCCTCGTTAACACGCCGATCAAACTGT